ATAGTCGGCAACTAGAAATTCCATTAAGAGCGGCGGTGACCAAACTTCAAAGGTAGCAGCGATGAGTGGAACAGAGGAAACTTCGGCTGGTTGCATCGTCGGAGTTTGCTCTCTCGTTTCTCAAGCTTGCAAATTCCTTCGTATCCTACTCTCTATCATCAGTGCTCGTGACCACAATCATCCTCATCAAGACAGAAATAACCAGAGACAAAACACATGTACCACTTCGGCGAAGATGGATCCATCATCAAGACGATAAACAAAACCAGACAGTCTTTTCCTTACCTGAGATTATGACTGTTGGTTATCAAACCTTTCTCTTGTGAAGAAGCTATGTGAAATATTGAAAACCCAGAAGATAGATATGCAACACGAAAGCATGAGAGAGTCGAGGAATAAAAGAAGCCCTTTTATGTCAAAATCATTATTGTTTTACTCTTTCAAACTCTGTACATATTCAAAAGATTCATTATACTCGAAATAGGTCAATAATTCCATGAACACTAATGTGATTCATGTTTTCTTCTAACTTACCTGTTAATTAAGAATCTTGGTTCACGAAAACCACCACCGCTCCTTCACGAGACGACAGATCTCCCCGAGACTCGAACTATGGCTATGAACACCCAGAGGATGGCACACAAGGCACCCACAATGGATAAGAGAAGAAAACCTCTGTTTCTGCCACTACGCTTCTTTGCCATAGTAGTGGTCACTGCCGTTCCATTAGCCTTTCCACTGAACCTCATACGGCTGAAGCTAGACATCCGCACAAAGGTCCGGTTAAGGGGACCCTCAGAAGCAGAGGCTGGTGTTGAAGGTATTGAGTCCATAAATGCCCACAGAGCTGATGAGAACGGGCTCGTTTCACCACCATTTTGGCCTTCCTGGTCTTGGGCATTTACAGTCACAGTAGGATTTGTGGAATCGGGCAACACACCTAAGCAAAATGTGGAGTATTCACAATGTATCAGTGGAAAGACTCAGGTTATTGCGTTTAAAGATCTTAACAAGAGGGTTTTATAAACCAGGATTAACAAAAAGCAGAATATCATATACATGTACTGGTTCAAGTCAAAGCCAAATAGGGAAAAAAAATTTGTACTTCGTGGGAAATAACTTGGCAGGCAACATAAGTGAATGCTATGAGACAAGCATGATTCTAAGTACCTGATGAGGGCGAAGCAAAAGCTCCAGAAAAAGACTGCGGTTGATCAAAAAGAACAGCCTGATCATCATTAAACCACAAATCGTCAGTGAACTGATCAAGAGTTGGGCTAGAACCCATGAAGTTGTTCAGCTGGTTCTCAGAAGTCTGGTCCTGGAACTGTTGACAAACAAACTGCTGTCTTTGGTCTGATGTGTTGTTAAATTTACTCAGCGAAGATAGATCAGTAGAAGCTCCCTGAGTAATAGGTTCCATATCCAATGACATAGAAACGTCATGAAACAATTGGTCAAACTCATTAAAGTCATCGACTTCACCATGGTTCAAGACCTGAGCTGATTTCTCAGTTGAAGAAGCCCCGAGCTCAGGAATCAGAAGATCATCCATTTCAATGTAATTCTCGTTCTCAAACACAAGAGGTGCCATACTAGAGGTCTTGGGAGCTGATGTGACCTCAGTAGCCTCTAATGAATTTGCAGACACAAGGGACCCAAAACTTGAGGGCCTGTTGTATGGCTGGCCGTTTGGCCAAAACTCTTGAACTTGCCGGGCAGTAGGAAACTCTCTAGCAGAATTATTCACTAACGTGCTCTGCAGCTCTTCTTCGCTATTAACCTGCAAGTAGAATTATCTATCTAGTTAGGAAAGTACAAAAAAAAATGAACATGTAAAATAAGGCCTAATCCAATAAGAGAAGATACTGACCTGGGGAATACTAGAAGCAAGGCCATTAATACATCTTGTAGGAACCCCAGGTGCATCTGGGATTCCTTTGAGAAGCTCCTCGATATCCTCTAATCGAAGATTGGCAGGATTGAAAAGTAAACCACCATCCACACAACGAGTATCGTCATAACGAACCACAGGTTCCTCTGCTGCAGCAATATTATTTCCATCTTCGTTATCATCATCAACCCATTCTTCTTCTTGGAACAGAGCACCATAATGTTCACCATTTTTAGGACCAGACCCACTTTTCTTGAACATCTTATAAAGAGCATAATAATCCTGAAGAAAAACAGTAAATCAGATCAACAAAGGATAACTAAATGAGGGAGGCCAACAGAAAAAATGTTTACTAACAGATATAGGTATAATACCTTGACGTTCTTACATCTCCCCAGTTCTTCTTCATCCATTGTGTACTCATGCATCACCCAGTCAGTTCGCTCACCATTAGGTGCACGACCTCTATAGAAAACAAGAGTCTTTTTGAGTCCTACCGATCTGGAATTGTACTCAATGATTCGATCCTTTCCTGTTGCTTTCCAATACCCACTTGCAGTNCNTCTACCTGACCTAGCTGCGTTTGGATACTTCCNNCTCCTNGGAGTGAAAAAGAACCACTGACGATCTCCAGTCTTCAACACCGATTGACCTGAATCAGATTATTCCCAGTGTATTAGAGAACTAATCTCAAAGCAGATTGATGTTTTCATAAAATAGAAAAACAAATCTGGACCGAGTCTTTGTGTATCAATAAGACTGAAAAAAAAACAGTAAAGCTTCCATCTTTTAATCTAAAATTCATATACTTGTTCCCGAACAAACCCAAGATCAGGATATAAGAAAGCCAACATAAAACCCTAGTAAAGGAAATCGAGGAAATCAAAAGTAAGAAAGCTACCAGGTAATTCCTCGGGCTCCAATTTGTAAACATCAACGACGCCGATAACATTGATTCTAAGCTTCTTATTACAGATCTTCCTCTTGAGATAATACATGACCAGCTCTTCATCGGTCGGGTGAAATCGAAACCCTGGTGCGATGAATTTTCCCTCTTTGAAACACGAATCTGGAGAAGAATCCGCCATCTACGTAACAATCGGAATCGATCCCACAAAAAGAAAAGAAGTCAAAAAGTAAAAAAAACCCACTCGGGTCAACGAGGAGAAAACCCTCTTAAGAACAACCGAGATCCCTTTCTCTTCGACGATTCAGAAGAGAAATGAATCAATCCTACATGAGACTGTGAAAATCCGCCGCGATCGAACGAAATTGAAAATTCTAGGGTTTGATCGGACGGGGAGAGAGAAAATTAGGGAAGAAAAGAGAAATGTGAGATTTTTGTTTGGTGTAGATTGAGTGATTTGGTTGGCTATCTCTGATTGTCTCAGCTTTTTTCTGCTGCCTTGGATCAGTTTGACTTGCGAAGTTTCCGAGAAAATGTTGGGCTCCAAATACGCTTGTTCCGGCCCACTATAAATTGAGGCCCCGTAATTAGTATTTTCTTTCAAAATATCTGTACGTACATATTAAATTGCTAATTTCAACCCAAGCAAAATTTGACTTGGCTGCTTTCATACATCAGTTCTGACACTTTTTAGCCGATTTTAATCAGAACAAAATATTTTTTTAAATAATCAACATGAATTGTTAATCCGTTAGTCAAAATTACCATTGACTTAGATGGTGTTAGTCAATCTGTTAAATATACTATGACACTATTAATATGGTAATTTTCAAGTTCGATGTTTAAATACTTAAATCTTGGGACATACTTGAAAAAGATGCTACGGCCTTGATTGGTATAGCTTGTCGATGAGCAGTAGCATAATGCAGTATTAACGGTAAGCAGCTGGAGCAGTATGCTCTGATTAGTATACACATTTAGCTGATTGGCAGAGCAGTGAATGATTATATATAAAATTAAAAAAAATTATTTTATTTTACTTATTTTATTTTTTAATTAAATTATTATTTTATTATAATACTATTTAACAAATAATGACAGATAGACTAATGGTATATATTAAGCTTTCATTTTAATATAAATATATTTATGAATAAATTTTTTTAATATTTAAGTTATATTTTTATTAAAATTTATTTAAAAATAATAGAACATATCAAAATGATAAAGATTAATATATATATATGTTTTATAATTACAGAAATTATAGAAATTATGTATATTTACTTTTATTGAAATGATTGTCTATATTATATTTATAAATTATAACGTAAATTTCTTTTATAATATTTTNNAATTTAAATNATATTTAATTGAATNANTATTATATTATAATATNATCTTAATATAATANAATAAATAAAATAATGATAAATATGAATTTAAATAATTAAAAGTTAATATAATTTGTTTTTTTGTAATATAATAAAAAAAAATTTCAAAAAATGCCACTTTTCAAGTGCCACTTTACAAAATGCCACATTTTTGAAATCTTTACAAAAATGCCACTTTTTCAAAATTATATTTTTTTATATTATTTATGTTTGGGTTAATTATGTTCTATTAGGGTTTAGTTTTAAGTGTTTAGAGGGTTTTAGGCGTCAAAACATTTTTTAGGATTTAGAATTTTAAGATATAGGCTTTCTAAATCTATAATTAGTGGCATTTTTGTAAATGGACACCTCTAAATGACATTCTTGCAAATATGCACATAAAAAGTGGCATTTTTGTAATTGCTCCAATAAATAAATTGGTTAGTTATATAATTTATTTTTAATTTTTGTAAAAATATTTAGAGATCAATGCTCTTGAAAAGCTCTATTTGAGAGCATTGAGGGAGGATTATTTTGAGAGCATTTGCATTTACTAAATATTTTATTTAATGTTCTGTCAATCAATTAAATTTTAATGATAAAAAATATAATGCTCTTTAAAATGCTATGCCAATCAAACTGCAGTAAATTTTTAAATGACCGAATCTTAGTTTAATTCAATCAAAATCGTGGCCCATTAAGACCATAAGGTCCACAAACTCACAGATGAATCACTTGATTCTGACGTGGCACGTGAAGTTGAAATAAATCTCAAAAAGATATCGGAGAGTTTAAATCACAAGAGACGTACACTTGAAGATAATTTTAAATAACATTAGAGGATATTCCGGGCCATACCCGGGTTTGTTAATTATAGATTTGTTTGTTGTTTTGATCTTATGAAGATGATATTGTAATAGTTTTCTGATTTTATGTATTTGAAAACAATTTTTTATTCAATAATATAATTTATATTTAATGATAAGTCGATCATTTTAATTTTTAAATTTGACTTGTTTTAAATTTACAACAATTTTTATTTTTGGTAACATATAATTTATATTATTGTTTAGCTAAGTTATCATAAATTATTTTAAAATTAATCTTCTTATTTTTTATGTTTATGCATGTTTTTTCTGATTTTTTAAAAATTTATTAATGTTTTAGGAAAGACAATAATTTTAGAAAAAAGAATAATTAAGAGAATGCAAAAATTAAAATGTTGAAAACAAAAGAGTCTCCAAACTATCGATGAACTACTTAAAATATGCATCAAATTTTGTATCATTTTGTTACATTGTTAGGACATGATCTTATTTACACTATAATCTTGAATTATCCTCATTTTAAATATAAGTGAGTATTAAAGTTACAAAATTAAATATCAAGGACTGTAATGGTGTATATTCTTTATTTTTTTTACTTAATTTTAGTTATAAGAAATCCCCTATATATATATTGAGGAGACACTAAGGTGAAAATCCTATGTGTCACTCAATGAGGGTTTCAAGGAACATGTCATTTAAATTAACCGATGAAAACATTTTAATTAATTCTATATATTCTTATTAAATTTTAGCATAAACCCATTGATACATGGTTTGCAAATCTAAATCCAACTAAAAGTAATATTTAGACTTACCATATTATCTATTTTAAAAAAAAAAATTTATATTTTAAAAACTTCTTTTATATTTTTAAAATTTTTTATTATTATATTTGTGACAAATGTTATTTATTGTTTATATATGTATTTAGATTAATATGATATATAAAATTTTAACCCATTTCATTATTGAAAAATGAATATTGCTTTTCGTTTATTATGTTCGACAAATTCATATAAATCTAAAATTTAATTGATTTATCGCTTGCTGTATAATTTATACGAATAATAAAAATTAATTTTACACTTAAAATATATTGAAATAAATAACATTTTCATATTTTATGATCAATTGCACATAAAAATATTAAAATTGATGGCATCAAAATATGCTTGATCAAAATTTAACTTGATTATACTTATGTACAATGTATATCATTTTGTAAGTTTATAAATATTAGAAATAATATGATTTGTTAGACACATTTACATATTAAAATAGATTAAAAATATATTTAATTGTTTAATCTCACGCTTGGCGTGGGTCAAAATCTAGTGTCATGTTAACTCATAAGGATTATCTTCTTACAAATAACTCGTAATTTCGTGTATATTATGAACACATCATATATATTATATTCCCAAATTTAATAATTTTATAACTCATACAAATTTTAGATACTTTTATTAACAACACTATATCGTCATACGATGTTGTACAGAAGAATGAATTTGTACCACAATCACAAGAGAGTTGGGACAACATGAATATTGAATGTGTTAGAAAACATTGCTTTGAGACTGTGCTCTTATGAACGAGCATATGCCCCCACACTATTGTTGAGCCATTGACTTATGTGCTAAGGCATACCAAGAGGTAAGGTAAAACTCATATATATGCACCTTAGGTAAAACCAATGCTGATTACCAAAAGTTTTTTTTGTCTTTTTGATAATCCAGGTGTCTGGGTCCCACAATTTGGTGAATCCCAACTA